AGGTGTATGTCGAGCAATCCCCTAATTTTATTGATTCACTATTTCCTAATCATGTTTACCAGGTACAAAAAGCTTTGTATATGTTAAAACAAGCTCCTAGAGCTTGGTATGCTCGCCTCTCAAGTTTTCTTATTGATAATGGGTTTTCAAAAAAAATTGATAATACTCTATTTATTAGAAAAAAGAAAAATGATTTTATTTTGGTTCAAATTTATGTTGATGATATTATTTTTTATGCCACTAATGAATCTTTGTGCAAAGAATTTTCTAAAGTTATGCACGAATAATTTGAGATGAGCATGATGTGAGAGCTTACGTTTTTTCTCAGTCTCCAAGTCAAACAAACCAATGATGGAATTTTCGTGTCACAAAGTAAATATGCAAGAGAGTTGGTCAAGAAGTTCGGATTGGAGAACTCTAAACATGCACCAACCCCCATGAGTAAAATATGCAAGAGAGTTGGTCAAGAAGTTCGGATTGGAGAACTCTAAACATGCACCAACCCCCATGAGTACCACCATCAAGTTGGACTTGGATGAGACCCCCATGAGTACCACCATCAAGTTGGACTTGGATGAGAGTGGTGAGAAGGTAGACCAAAAGCTTTATCGATGTATGATAGATAATTTACTTTATCTCACCGCTAGTTGACCGGATATTATGTTTAGTGCTTGTGCATGTGCACGTTTTCAAGCTTCTCCTAGAAAATCTCATCTAATTTCGGTTAAAAGAATTATTAAATATATAAATGGAACTATTGAACTTGGTTTGTTTTACCCTTAGAATGCTTTTTTTGATCTTTGTGGTTATTGTGATGCCGACTTTGCCGGATGTAAAGTAGACCGCAAGAATACGAGTGGAACATATCAATTTTTGGGTAACTCACTTGTTTCTTGGTCATCCAAGAAATAAAATTATGCTGCATTGTCCACTACGGAAGCGGAGTACATTGCTGCCGGCTTGTGTTGTGCACAACTTTTATGAATGAAACAAAATTTAGTTGATTTTAATTTACATTTTCATGATACAAAAATATTTTGTGATAACACTAGTGCGATTAATATTTCAAAAAACTCTGTTTTGCATTCTAGAACCAAACACATAGATGTATGACATCACTTCTTGCGTGACCATGTAGATAGGAAAGATGTTTCCCTTGTTTACATTGACACAAAAATCACAATTAGCAGACATCTTTACCAAACCCCTTAGTGAAGAAGATTTTTGTCGTATAAGAAATGAATTAGGCATGTGCATTGTGAAGAAGATTTTTGTCGTATAAGAAATGAATTAGGCATGTGCATTCTTTGAATACTTGTTTTGATGCAATTTGCTTGCTATTGGTTTTAAGCTATCAATTTTATATCGACTTTTTCTTTGTGAACTACATTGTTGTAACATGTTTAAGCACACAAGGATACTTAGAGAAGTGGTTGGGAGAGACCGGATCAATTCCTAGAGGAGTGGGTGAGTAGTAAGGCCTAGGGAGAGGTCGTAAATCCAAACACTTGAGGAATGTGACACGGGTAGGCCAACATTTAGAGGAGTATCGTGTGGGTTTTAACACATGTAAATTATCTTGTTTATCCTATTTTAATGTTGTCAAAGGGGGAGAGAAATCTCTCAATTTGTGCACATAGATAGGGGGAGCAACTATCTATAAGCTAAAATTTTATTTTATTCATGCTCTTGAATAATGGTAGTTTGACATCATAAAAAAGGGGGAGATTGTTAGTTATCTTATTTTGATGATGGTTTACAAACACTATTATTAGTGCTAATTGTTTGTTGAGTTATATTATGTAGATTATAATTTATCAAGCAAGTTAGTGCCAAAGTTGGAGGATTAGATGGAACAAATAGTTACAACGATGATATTCATGGAGGTGGAGGCAATGTGGTGAAGCAAAGCTTTCTAGAGCACAATACAAAAAAGAAGCTTCATCAAAATATGAGCAAATATCAAGACCAAAGAATTGTATTCATATATGTGAGATATTTGCATCTTTTTCTTTCTCTCTAGTTCTTGATGTAGATAAGTTATTGAGTTGATAACATTTGAAGCTCATTGGGTTCACACACACACACACATTCAGAAAAACATGTTTTTGACTATTTTTGAAAAATGAGTAGTTTTTACAATTGGGAAATGATTTTTCAAAAATCTTTTTTCTAACATGTTCAAAATCATGTTTATAAACATTTTCCAAAGTTTTATAATTTTTGGAATTTAATTATTTGATATTTTATTTTGAATTTACAAAGTCATATTTTCAACCAATATAGAATTCCTATATGTACATGTCTTCGGTCGACTGATTTACATTGCGCAGTTGACTGATGACTGATGGTCGGTCGACCGGAACATCATTGTCGGTCGACCGAACCAGTTCCAGATTGCTGAGTCTGCAATTGTCTAATAGTCGGTCGACCGGACATGATCCATCGGTCGACCGGATCTACTGTAATGGCTAGTTTTGTACCAGCTGAATTTTTAGAATTTTGGTACTTGTTTGGGATTTGGACTATTGTTTAGGGTTCTTATATATACCACGTTGCTCTTTTCACTTCAGTAATCAATTAAGCAAGAAAAAAAGTCTTAAGTTAGGTTTTCTAAGTGTTCTTAAGCTCAAACTTTTAATTCTTAATCCTTAATTGTGTTTAAGCCTTTGTTTTTCTCACATCCACACTCCACAACCCTTGAGCTTTTACTTGTTCTTCACTTGATCCTTGTCATAGGATTGTTGTGAGAGTTTTTCCTTCTTCTATTGTAATTGTGTGGTGAGATTGATCTCGACGAGATCACTTGTGTGGATTGTAAGATATCAAGAGGAGATCGTTGTGAAGAAGTTCCGGCTCCAAACCGGGTGAGATAGTGAAGTTACCATCGGGAGAGGTGGTCGGGGACATAGGTCGGAGGATCGAACCTCGTGAACATATCGCGTGTCACTATTGGCTAACTATTCTCTAAACTCTTTCTCTATTTATTGCCTTTGTATTTTATTTGGTTGGTGTGTTGCATTGACAAATTTTAATTGCACATTATTGTCACATTACCCTATTCACCCCCCGCTAGGGTAATTTCACAACTAAGGAATGGAGAGTGAGGGAGAGTGATGGAACTAATTTGTATTTGTTCAAAGTAGAAAATGGGAAGAGAATAGAGGAATTCTCTTAAATACAATCTCTCCTCTTCGAGTCCGTCCACTCTTTATGAGGGTTAAAAAAATTGAAAAATTTTGCTTCTTTTTAACTCTAAGAAAATTTGTTTCTTTTTAACCTTCACAATCCTCCCACTCACTTAAAAATTTAAACAAACGCAATTTTAGGATAGTTAGCATTATAATCTTCCCAACTCCTCCCCTCCCCTCTTAAAAAAACTATATCCAAACCGTCAAAACTTAAATCTGTATCTTGATCCAAATTGTTCATAGAATACTAAAGGTTTGATCAGTGATCAATCACCATGTGAATTTCAAAGCCATGTTTATGGAGCTCAAGTCTGTCTATAAATCCGTGCTTCATTTTTTTTAGGTTTAGTTTCTAGCTAGTTTTATGAATCGAATAGTCAATAAATGGGATAAAAATAATGGATAATATGAGAGGAAGAAAAAGAAAAGACGGCAAGGAAAGGAAAGAATTTTGTCTACAACCAAATTGGAGTTTGGAAGAAAGAAGAAGAAACAAAATAGAGTAATAAAGAAAAATCTTATGAAAAGATATACATAATAAAATAATATTTTTAATCCATTAGTTATGATTGTAATTTGAAAAATATTATGGTTATTAATTAAAAAATAGAAATGACTTTTGAACTCAAAATCACGAGATCAATTATGGGAGGACTGACGTGTGCTTTTGCTAACCATTAATCTTGATAAAATCCCAATAAAATAAAACGTATATGTAAATTATCTAAGAAATGTAAAAATCTTATGGTATTTTTTAAAGGGTTATTTTTATCGGTTTTTCTATAGAGTGCCTATGAGCACTTTATAAGAGAGGAGAGAGATAGAAAGAAATGAATTATGCACAGAAATTAATGCAAATCAGGGGGGACCATGAGCTATTCATTTCTCTCTATCTCTCTCCTCTCTTATAGAGTGCCCATGGGCACTCTATAGAAAAACTATATTTTTATATACCTCTTAAATTACTGGCATTTGCAAAATCTCACTATTTACATAACCAACATTCAAAATCATCTCGGACCCTCCCCCACCCCCCACCCCCCCAAAAAAAATTAATAAATAATAATAATAAATAAATAATAAATAAAATCTAACAAATCAATACCTTTGATGGGCTTGCATAAAACTATCAACAAAATAGTCAAAATATTACTCACAATCTGCAACAAAATTAAAAATTTGTTGATTTAGGGAAATTGAAGAGCCAAAGAGTGTTGAAAAAACTAAAGTTATTATCTACTACTCACCATGAGCTATTCATTTCTCTCTATCTCTCTCCTCTCTTATAGAGTGCCCATGGGCACTCTATAGAAAAACTATATTTTTATATACCTCTTAAATTACTGGCATTTGCAAAATCTCACTATTTACATAACCAACATTCAAAATCATCTCGGACCCTCCCCCACCCCCCACCCCCCCAAAAAAAATTAATAAATAATAATAATAAATAAATAATAAATAAAATCTAACAAATCAATACCTTTGATGGGCTTGCATAAAACTATCAACAAAATAGTCAAAATATTACTCACAATCTGCAACAAAATTAAAAATTTGTTGATTTAGGGAAATTGAAGAGCCAAAGAGTGTTGAAAAAACTAAAGTTATTATCTACTACTCACCCTTTTCTAACATATATCCAAATTTTAAAAATTACTAAATCAAGCACGATTCATGAATTCGTTTGCTTACATCTTTAAATTCATCTAGGATAGTAACTTTTCTCATAGAAGTAGTAAAGAACACAGGATCTAGGCCTAAAAAAAAATACGTGATTCAAAAATGTTTGGGGCTAAAAAGGAAAATTCATCTTCGGAGAACGGCCACCCGCGTGTCAACCGCGTCTTCCAGCTCGAGCTCTGCCTATTTCTAGGCTCTTCCATCAAAGCATTCTTCTCAGCAAAACAAAATTTCTCTCTCCTCTCTCTCTCTCTCTAAAAGATTTGAGAGCTCTGAACATCTCTCGCTCTTGCTCTCTCTCTCTCTCTCTCTCTCTCTCTCGAAGAGCTGTTGACAGCTTGGCAAGGTAAACTTATCTCATCACCTTGTAAAAAAAGCAATCTTGAGCAACTGGGTTTGTTTGAAATTTGTTTTTTTCTCTTTTTCCTCAATTGGGTACCCTCGACATTCATCGCCTCTTCCATTGAGAAAGAAGAGAGAGGTTAGTTTTTCAACCTCGGTTTCTTTCTCTCTCTTGAAGAGCCGTTGCTTGCTAGACAAGGTAAAATCATGTAATAAACTTGTTAAAAAGCGATTTTTATCGATTGGGTCTGCTTGGATTTGCTTTTTTATTTGTAAAAGAAAGATTGTTTCTTTCTATTTGCTCTCAATTGGGTGGTCTTTACATTTATCATTGAGAAGGGGAAGGAGGTTAGCATCTTTTCCCTTTGTTTTCAATTGGGTATTCTTCTCTTTCGTTTGGAATTTGCTATTTTGAAGGAAAGATCTCTCCTACCTTTTTATTGCTTGTGTCATTGAGAAGGGGGAGGAGGTTAGCATCTTCTATCTTTTATTTCCTCTTTTTCTTCAGTGGGGTTGTATTTGAGTCTGGGGGGTTAAGGAAAATTTTGACGTCAATCATCTGTTCTTGTTTATGGCATGCAATGTGATGATATGTGCTTTTTTTTGTTGTAAATTTGGCAATTGTCATTTTGTTTTGTCCACTGTGATGGGCGTTTTGATAGTTGCTCTCTGAATTGGAGTGATTGTTTTTCTTTGTTCTATTTGTGTCTAAAAATTATCTGGAGAAGGGATGGTTACTTCTTTCTGTTCTGGTTTTGTTCTTGTCCTTTGTTGGGTTTTCTTTGCTTTGCAGTTTTTGTAATTTTTTTCCTTCTAATGAAGTTCTTGACCTTGTAATTATTTATTGAGAGCTTTTGATCAGAAAAATCACCAATTCCTCTTTTTGGTCGCCTTTTCTTTTAATTAGTGACCTGAAGATGCTTGCTCAAGTATTGAGAGGTTTTTTTTAGTGAAGTTTGTATCAAATCTCATTTAGTCTTGAGTAAACATAGGATAAGATGTTTTATTCCCAACCATGGTTAGTTTGATTTATTCTTAATTCTATCTCATCCTAACATGCTTTGGTGAGGAGAACATTCACTGAATGATTCCTCTTTAAAGTTTTATTCCCATATTAATAATTTGAATCAAACATGCTGGGAGCTTAAAAAGTCCTTGTTAGCTTTTTCTATCACAAACAGATCTCTCTTGGGTATTGTTTGGGGATGGTTAGGACTGTTTTGGGTATTGTTTGGGGATGGTTAGGACTCTTTTGACTTAATCTCCTAATGACAATGATGAGTGGGTTTGAATTGATCTCTGCGTGAATAATCTCTAAAAGGACTTGTTCTCTTCTAGTGAAAGTAGGTAGGTAACTAGAGGAGCCCTAAGCTAGGCCAAATTTTCTTCTTTCCTTTTTCTTCCCTATCTTGGTTTTCTTATGATGACTAACTAATGGAATGCCTATATTTTGCTTTTATTGTTTGGTTTCAGGTTTAACTTTGAAAACGGATTCCAGAAGGGTCTTGTTTGAAATCAAATCTCTCTTTCAATCACTCTGGCCGCTCCTGAGGCACCATCTCCTCGCACCTTGAGAAAGGTGTGGGCTCTAGAGGATTCTCTCTTCCCTCTTTGCTCATCCATTCAAATCCCCTCTACCCTTCTCCTTCGTTACTTTCGTGCGATTGAAGGTTCTCCTATTGACAACGGCTAACCATTACTTCGTAATTTGACGATCTCATCTCTGCATAGAATTGGAGTCTTTATTTTTCATTTGCTGTAAAGGTTCTGTTGTAGTTCTCTGTTTATCTTCCATATTTTTTGAGCTTAGAGTATTACCGGATACCAGTTCTCGGAAATATGGTGACGTTTAACTGCTTATCTGCCCTAGTTGTTGGAAAGAAGAATAAATCCAAGGTGAGCGATCTCTGTTTAATTGCATTGATCTTCTTGTTTCTGGTGTGGTGTTAATTGAAAATTGTTGGTATCTGTTAGAAAACCAACAAAAATTTGGATGTAAAGAAAGGAGAAGCCAATGTAAAGCCTCGAGTGAAGCCGATTGATCTTCCATATCAATCAGAAGAGAACAATGCGAGCAAGGAGGAGATTTCTAGCCCCTTGTCCCCTAAACCAAAACCTACAAGTAATGAGAACATGATCACCCGAGTTGATTCAGGCGGAGCGGATGCTGCCTACGAGGGAGGGGACGAGCATGATGAGGTCCTATCAATGAAGAGGGACTATTCCGACCTTGATCTCCATGCCCAAGCCAATTCCATGGATTCAAACCCTGAGTTTGTTCAGTTAAGACATGAGTTGATCGAGACTAAGTCTGAGAGAGATGAGCCCATCACTCCTGACCTATTAATGCAATCCGGGCATGTCAGTGACCCTGGAATCAGCCGACCAACGGCCTTCTGTGGATCACCTAGCCTAAAACGATCATGCTCAAATATTGAGACCAAGAGAACCAACCTCCAAAATTTTGATTCCCCAACAAAATCTCAATCCTACACCGATCTTAAGAATCTATCCACTGGCGGAAATTCTCTCTATAGAATCCAAAGCAGCCCTTTGTCAGCGAAAAGCAATTGCAGTGCTGATAGAGTGATGCTAAAGAAGCGGTCGTCAAGCCAAGTTCTCCCTTCAAGAAGCCGCAAGGTTTGGTGGAAGCTCTTTCTTTGGAGCCACCGCAATCTCCACAAGCCATCAGACTTCTCCAAGCCACCGATTCCGAGCCTGACATTCCACCAGAAAGCGGGGTACTCCTCAGATACTCTCGAGCCATCTCAAACACCTTTGAAGGGGAAAAATAAGGCAGTAAAGGAGTCTGGAAACCAGTGGGTTGCTTTTGCAATGGACTCTTCTTCCCCATTGGATAGAATCAATGCTTGGGTTAATAGCATTGATGAAACCGAGCTTGCCCCGATACATGATAGTGATGATGGAGAGATTGAGGAACAAAAGAAGGGAGATTTTGAGATTGGGGAGTCTTCAGGAAAGAATCGCTCCTCTTATGCAGGTCGCCGGACCAGTGAGGAGATCATGCAGGCTAACAATGTGATCCAGTCTTTAAGTTCCTTTTCATCTGTGGCTCATATATCAGGCATGGGACTCAAGGTCATTCCTTCAATTTCAACCTTCTCTAGCCTTCGGACCATCAACTTATCGGGAAATTTTATAGGTATTAGCCGAAAACTACTGGAATTGTAAAGAAATTGTATGCACTGTGATTTTGTAAGTAACAATATAGTGTTATTTTGCAGGTCAAATTAATCCAGGGTCCCTCCCGAAGAGTCTTCACACTCTAGACTTGTCTAGAAACAAGATTGCGACAATAGAAGGGCTGAGGGAGCTGACAAGATTACGGGTTCTCAACCTTAGCTATAACAAGATTTCACGTATCGGTCATGGTAAGCATGCTATTCTCTTTGTAGTTCTTTCAAAAAATTGGGACTCGTTTATCTTGCTGTATTGTGAGTTAGCTTAAAACAAGAGTAGTTTTCTAGTCTATAATAGTTTGGGTAATTAAGAGAAGAATTTACAAGACAGTACTTTATCGACTTGTGAGTGAAAACTTATCATGAAACAATCTGCAAGTAGTTTAACAGAAATCAAGATTTTTGAATACTATCCTAAATTTTATTGTTTGGTTGGGTTGACAAAGATAAGGTGAAATGATTAAATTGAAGATTTTGAAAACTCAGAATATTTATACTAGGAGGAACCAAGTTATAGTTAGCTTATGCACATAGTGAAGAACATAATAAGTACTCTATTAAAAAAAACTTCCGTTTTAAACATTTATGTTTGCTTTTCTACTGGATTTTCTTTTAGCAATATAATGTAAGTTGTTGAGTTTTAAGTCTTATACTTGCCTTTCATGGTATAAATTGAAATTCCTTTTTATAGGTGTACAAGATAACAAAATCTTGCTCCTATTTATTAATATTAGCCACATATTTGAAAATATAGATAAAAAGCTTTTGAACCAATGAACCATTAATTTGCTTTTATAACTGAAAAGAAAGTAGATGATAAGTGACATATGATATATAATTCGAGGAGGGTGATAGCCTCTTTTTCTCCCTATTACTTGTTTCTTTTTTCTTTTGTTTTCTTTCAGGAGTTTCTTAAGTGGATAATAGCATGTTGACAAACTTCTTTTTCCCCTGACCAGTCCTTCCAGATATTATTTCTATTCTCAACTGTCATTTTTTTCATAGTTGATTCTCTACAAGAGTTTATCTCAAAATAGCAGAATTCATGAACCTGTATTCTCACTGGGAGAATATTTTGATAATTTATATATAGGGAAGATTATGTAAATTACAATCTAATGGGGGAGGTATTCAGAAGACTGAAGGAGAGTATAGCTGGCTTGATCCTCGAATGATGCCATTGGATGAAATCTTGATTGATTTCCTTGTGGGGAGATATATTGCTAGTTTCTTAGTATCTTTAATGATTCGTTGAGATTCTTAATTTTATCTTACTAATCTTGTTGAGATAGGACCTCAGATGGCAGCGATAATTATTTCCTGTTTCATGGATTGATGATGATTTCCTTAATTCTTTCGTTGTCACTTTCAATTTAGAATGCACCACATCCTACTATAAGCTATGGATAACTTTGCTGAGAATCAAGCTTGTCAAGGAGTACTGGATTCAGTTTTCACTCTGTGGTCCACAGTGAACATGAGCCTGTGGTACTCTAGTGGCTCACTTTTTTCCACATTCTTATTTCCAGAGAAGTGTGATTCCACTATATCTTCCTTTCACTATCGAACTGCCCTTGGGGGGGACCATATATGAAGTTTTAATTCTGAAACCACAAGTTGGTTTTGCTCATAATACGGTCCATGAGATTAATCCAGTAGTTTCCATCTAACTCCGTTGCCGTCATATAAGTGGATGGTGATGGTAATTTGACTATTTAATGAGGAGGATAACCTGTTTTCTTTGGATTCATGAGAAGTCTATTCAGGATTATTATTTCTAGACATGAATAAGGACAACTATTTTCACATAAAACATTGAACTAAAATACAAAATTATGGTTCTGGTATTTGATATATTTATCCTTTAGAGAAGGGTTGAGCTTCTCCACTTATGGAACTTGCTTCCCACCGGAAATCAAATAGTTGAAAGGGAAAAAAAGAACATACACTTATTCAGTATGCATCTTATGTCCTATCCTGTCTAGTCTATATTTAAGTCCTAACTCCATCTCTCCATGGAAAATTTGTCGCCATCAAGAATTGTGTGGTTTCATCCTTGGATGGTAAGAAACTGACTAGGTAGCATGATAGAATGTGCTAAGTTCTATGCATCGTTGCATTTTCATTCTTCTTTGTATTTATTTCATTGTTTTCCTCTATATGTGAGAATGTGCATACCTATGTATCTCTGTGTATACATCCATCTTGTGATGGTAGGAATCAAACCAGCTCCTCTAACATGCCCTTTATAACTTCAACAAACTTGTCCTGGATAGATATTCAAATTAGGGTTAATTGGGATAGACCCCTTGTTGCTCAATTGTGGATAGACCCCTGTAGCTCTCTTGTTCTTGGTAGACCCCCAGTACCATCACCGAATTGAGAATAAACCGAGTGAATTATTACTCTTTTACCCTTAGGGAGGTTTACTTGTAAAAAAATAATGCTCTTTTTCTGAGGGTAAAAGAGTTGGGAAAAGAGGTCTATTTGCAACCATTTAGAACTACAAGCATTTATCCGCAATTGATACTACAGGGGGTCTATCTGCAATTAAGCCTTCAAATTATTGTGGTTCACTTGCCATATACTGAGTAAACTTACAAGGGTTTATTGATGTTCATGAGATATATGCTCTTGTTTTGGATCTCTAGCTGCGTATTCATCTGATAGTTGAATTGTTAGATAAAAAGAAGTATCTTTGGTCTTATTTCTTTGATTATTCCTATTTCAGGACTGTCCAATTGCATTCTCATCAAAGAACTCTACCTAGCCGGCAACAAGATCAGCAACGTCGAAGGCCTCCATCGCCTCCTCAAACTAACGGTCCTTGACCTGAGCTTCAACAAGTTAACAACATCCAAAGCCCTAGGCCAGCTTGTCGCCAACTACAATTCCCTTCTCGCTCTCAACCTCATAGGAAACCCGATCCAGGCCAACATTGGCGATGACCAACTACGAAAGGCCGTCACCAGTCTCTTACCTCACTTGACGTATCTCAACAAGCAGCCGATCAAGCCGTAGTGTTGCTAGAGCTGCGTTAGGGAGCGGTAACGGAGGGAGGAGAATGGCTAGGAGAAGAAGCCCGAGCTCAGGGACAGGATCTTTGGTGAGGCGAGCAAGCCAGAGTTCAGCACTCGGGTCCCACACGAAGGGAAGCAGGAATAGGGCCAAAGGGAGGCTCCAGCACTCGGTTACTTCTTCAAGGAAGTGATAAGTAACTGGAAAAAAGGAAGAACAAATAGAGTAAAATGGTTGCCATCAGTTAAACAAAATGTGTCTGAGTCTTTGGAGCTTTACCTTCTTGATCTTATGGCTCTTTCTACAAGGGAAAGGATTACGTGGGGCTATTTGAATTCGGTATTCAGATGCGAAGCGGATTGTTGTGAGGTATAATTTCCACTCTATAATCCGAGCTATGTACATGAGCTCTGGACTTGCAGAATCCATTCAGAAATAAGCTTGAAGCAGTATTAGCGGCCTAGTTCAGGTTATGCATTAAAACGCCCATGAACAGATTGAGAGTGTTGGTGAAATAAAATTGAAGGGGTTTAATTGCAAGTTTTTGGTATTCGCTGGAGTTTGTTTTCTGTTGCATTAGTTGTCTTTCTCGTAGTGTTTTCGTGTGGTAAAACGGCATTGAGATTGTCTGAGAAGCTGCCGTCTTGTGATGTTTTGTAGCATTTCTTTTTAATCAAGGTCAATATGATGTTTGCATCTTAAAAATGTGCATCGAATTCTCAGATAGATCAAAGATGTTCTAAAGTCGTGTGGTAAAACGGCATTGAGATTGTCTGAGAAGCTGCCGTCTTGTGATGTTTTGTAGCATTTCTTTTTAATCAAGGTCAATATGATGTTTGCATCTTAAAAATGTGCATCGAATTCTCAGATAGATCAAAGATGTTCTAAAGTAATCAAGGTCAATATGATGTTTGCATCTTAAAAATGTGCATCGAATTCTCAGATAGATCAAAGATGTTCTAAAG